GCCTTCCGCCAACCTCACGCGGCAGTATCTGCTGGATGAGGCGTCCACTGTGGCGCTGAAGGACCTCAAGGTCATCCAGGGCCACTTCAGCCTTTGGCACACATGGGCAGCTGGATGTGGAATATTAAGAGAGCACCATATACTCTGGTGGTTTGGTGTTTTTTGTTTTTTTTTGTTGCGTTTGAGTCAAAGAACTGTAGCACCCAACGGTGGTTTTTCCATTTGTACCCAAAATGGCTCACACCCTTGAGCACGGCAGGTTCAAACGGAAAAGCCACCCTTGGAGGGTGCTCTCCGGAAACCATGGGCTGTTCCTCCGACCCGTTGCCCACGCCCAGGTGGACGAGTTCGCCCAGGCGATCGACAAGAGCTGCGCCAAGTGGGACGCGGTCAACGTGTCGCGGGACATCAAAGTCATGGCTGCGGGCTTGCACACCGCCAGTTTGATCATGGAACCTTGGGTCTCCTCCAAAACTGTCTAGTTGTTGGTTTAGGGCAGGGGGAAGTTGACACAAAATCGGCAAGACACACTCATTTCGTGTGTATATACTGTATATAGATATAATAATAATGATACGGGTAATGATTATAATAAAATCATAGTGCATGTGCATATATACAAATATATGCATTAGTACATATATATATATATTGTGGGCCAAGGAACCTTCCCACATCTACCCCTACTACCTGTTGGTGGTGGACAGCAGCTGCACTGGGATCTCGCGGTTGGGGTCACTGACTCCTGGATACTCCTTGGTATCACCTATCTTTTGGACTGGAAACCCCTTTGTTGTTGGTCGCAACCCGGAAGAAAACAAAAACAAACTTTGGTGCATCTTGCCAAGGGATGTTAGGACTTTGACTTTTTGCCAACGAATTTGGGTTTTCGGTATTAAACCACTAAAAGTTACTCACTTTTAGCAGGGGAGCAGAAAGAAACCGAGTTTAGACTGGAAACCGGTTCCTTTGTTCTTGATTGCTGTTGGGTTGGATCTTTGGACTTTGACTTCTTGGCAAGTTAAACTTTTTGCAGGGGGGTCCACAGCAA